CAACGAGAAAAGTTGCTTATTACAACTTACCAAGAGGTAAATGATCTTTACTGATCAAATACATGTTGCGATGACGAAATCGTGCGGATTGTTGGAAACAACGATCTGCCAGAGCGACACTCTTTAATAAATAAAATGAAAAGCTACACGAGTCGTCGATCTGTCCAGATTCTTGCCTGACAAAACAAAACTTGTCTTTTTGGCAAGATTCTTGTTTTCTTACATTTCTAGCCATTTTTGAAAAAATTCTTGCAATACAAATGAATTTCATTTAGGCATCCATGCGATTCCTCCTTTCGGTCCTATTATATTTTAATTTCAAATAAAAAATACAAGAAAATTACATTACATGTGCAAGGAAATATACAATGCGCTCATGGCGCGTACAAAAAAATTAAGAAAAAGAAAAAAAAAGAAGCGAAAAACGCTTGAACAAAACTGTCTATTTAAAAAATATATCTGTTATAGTTCGTCCGAGTCATCTAGAAAAAAAGAATATATAATGTTCAAACTTCTGTATATTTATAAGTATCTATACAGAAAACATCACGTGATATTTTTCTTTAAGATATAATAAGAATTATTGAAAGGAAAAGAAAAAAGATTCTTGTCTGGTATTCAAGAAAAATAAGAATCTGGACAGATCGAAGTCAAGATCGTCGACTAGTGTAGCTTTTCATTTTATTTATTAAAAATGTTGCTCTGTCAGATCGTTGTTTCCAACAATCCGCACGATTTCGTCATCGCAACATGTTTTTGATCAGTAAAGTTTTTTTCCCGTCTTTATTGATGTAAATCAAGGACAAAAAGGAATATTCAGAGAAAAGAAACAAGGCACGATATATATATAATCTATCGAACCACACCTAGGACAGAGAGAAAGATATATACATATGCATATATGCAATCTATCGAACAGCACCTATGAAGGAGAGAAAGATACATATGTATATATGCATGTATATAATTAAACGAAACACACATAGAAAAAAAAGAGAGAGAGGATGATGATGATATGCTTGAGCAGTCAGCGTCATAAAGTACCATCAAATGTTGCTAACAGTTAACCATTTTCAAATGGAAATTTTTTCGTATATATCATAAACCTATCTTGGCATTTATCAGGATGATCTTTTTGATTTCGATTGTTAATGATACATCTATATGATCAAATTGCATATAGGTAATTACCAATCGAATATGTAATTTGTTTTTGAAATATCCTCGATGTTGTTGATGAGACAATTCCCAGATAAATGATTTCATTTTCACTTCTTGGGATTGATACATTAAAATTATTTTTAATATATTCAAATAACAATGTGTAAAACTCGTTAAAAAAGGAGCAAGTAATGAAAATATGTGATAATGTTTCTGGTAATGAGCAGAATAAACATTTCTTCTTTTCTAATGTTTTACCAAGTCTATCATGTGTATTTATTCCATAATTAGCTAATGATGCCCAGAATTCTATGATGTATCAACTTGTAGAATTGTATATTTTTCAAGTGACTGATCCTTTCGTAACATACTGGAGGTTGATAAATATTTAAATTGATAAACCTCCAATAGATTGATTTATCATTTCCATTATTAATTACATTACCCCCACGTTTTAACCATTTAGCAGTATGTATTGCTACATCACTAAAAAATTGCTTATCGTTGTGTAAATGTGGGATTAGATTCGTCCATAACCAAGGTGAATATTTGTATAATTGTAAACCTACATATGGTAATGCAAAAAATGTCCATATTTTCGGTGTTGTATTTGTAATTGTTAAGCCACATTTAATTCGATAAGAAATGATCATAGATTCTAAATGTATAAGACCAAAAGCACAATCCTCTTTTTTCCAACACAAGTTTGGAATTTTATAAAAGGATGTACTCTTCCCCAAAAAAAGGAGTTACAAATTTTTTGGATGGATTTAATTACATTTTTATTAATTAACATTGATGATAACCAATAAACCAATCTGCTAATTACAAAGCATCTTAGAATACTTGCTCTTTCACATAAGGACAGTCTTATTGAGGACCATAGTCCTATATCTCTCTTGATGTTGTTTACCATTTTATCAATTTCTTCTTGTGGTAACTGACCTTGAGTATCCATTGGTATTCTCAGAAAAGTACATTTCTCTCTTTCAATTTTTGCATTAAAAGATGGAGGATCGAGACAGTCACTTATCCAAAAGATAACTGTTTTTGTATCATTTGTTTTACCGCCTGATGCATAACTATATTTTTTAAACAGTTCATAAGTTTCAAATTCATCATTTGTATTAAAAGCAAATGTGCATACATCATCAGCATATGCTAATGTTTTAATTTCAATATTTGTTTCGTCGTTTTGAAGAATTGTGTTAACAAGGGATCTATATTGACTACCTGGAACTAAAACGCCGGGTATCTTGGGGTTTTTTCTTATTAAATTTAACAGGAGTTCTAAACACAAAACATAAAGATAACCAGAAAGTGAGCAACCTTGTCTAATTCCTGAATTAAAGAATACTTTTTCACTCAGGATATTGTTAAATTTAATTGTAAATATGGAATTGGTGTATAACAATTTAATCATATTGATGAAATTATTACCAAATCCAAACTGCCTTAGCACTTCGAAAAAATAAAGATGGTTCACTCTGTCAAAAGCTTTTTCTTGATCCCACATTGTAATTCCTAACGGTATACGGTTTCTTGAATGATGATCTATGATTGCACGTATTAAATGTATATTATCATGTATAGTTCTTCCGGGAATACCTGCTATTTGATTGTGATGTATGATTTTGTTCATAACCTTCTTTAGTCTTGAACTTAATACTTTGGTTATAATTTTATAGTCGATATTCATTAGTGAGAGCGGTCGAAAATTCTTCATAGTTCCTTTAAATTCACTTTCTTTCTTTAATAGAGTAAGAAGACCATTAAGAAGTCCATCGTGAAAATGACCTTTATCTTTAGCTATATTAACCATCTTGATAAAATGACCTCCTATTATTGGAAAAATAAATCTCCATAGTTCAATCGTTAAACCATCATCACCCGGAACTCGATCTAATTGGATAGCTTTAAGAGCTTCAAAACATTCACCAGCTGTTATATCACGATCAAGTAAGTCGATGTCATTTTGATTGAGTGTTGTTATATCTTCGAATAACTCACTCCAATAGGATGTATCGATTGGTTTAACATTATATAAATCTTGATAGAAATTGCAACAAATTTCCATCATTCCATTTTCTGTTTCAACACGGCCTTTAGATGGGTGAATAAGATAAGCGATTCTAGATTGATTGGCTTTACCATGTGATAATCGCGCTTTAGCTAAATTACTAAGACATTTAAAATCACGGGCATTTTGACTTGGAATACTATTAACGAATTTTTCTGTTAATGCATCGTGAAGCTTTTGTCTAATAATTTCTAATTGTGCTAAATCATCATTGGATGGGTGTTTGGTGTTTATTATTTGTGCAAGATTTGGCGAAGAATCAAGATGATGATGACGATAATAAGCAATTTAGATCATCACTTTTTCTTATAGCTTCAACCAATACTACATTTGATTGATCTAGGAGATTATCTGATCCGGATATATTGCAATGAAATTTTTAATGTAACAATTATTATTTTCACTTTTAAGTTGAAAATAGAAAATTTCGATTTACGTTTGAGAAGCTATTTCAGGAGATAGGATTTTTTCTTGGTGATCGGTGCCCTTGTTCAAGCTGACTTTGTTGTATTGAAAAAAACCTAAATCGTGCTGATAGTTCACACTTTGATATTCTTTGAAACTACTTTCAACGTGCGCATAACTAATGTAGAGATTGAAACAACCAAACGAACGATTATTATCATGTATAACCAAATGTCGAACACTAATAAATCATTCACCAGGAAAATGTTCGACATTTAAATATAAGTAATTCACTAGAAAACTAGTTAAAGTTATTTTCCTATACATGACATTGATTCCCTATCTAAAAAAAAATCGTAATTCTACTCGATATGTGTTCATTTGAATGAAGATTAAATGAAAATTCATGCAACCATGATAGAATTTTTCTTGAAATGATAGCCGGCAATAAACTTTGTTTTTATTTTGTGATAAATGACAATGAATAGTATTTTTTATTACTAAAAGTCAACGAGAACTATTTTGGAATATGCAGTCCAATATATTTATCTAGTAGATTTTTTTGTTGATACAACTATTTCTCCGTATAAACTAATAAGGATATACATTGCTAAGCCATGGAATCAGTATAGCGTTCTTTATCATAAAGCACCCATTTATCTTTTCAACAGAAAAAAGTCATCCGTCAGACTAGTACCATATTGATTATACAATACTATTTTTATTGAGATGAATATTCATCAATTTCTAGAGATAGAAACGCAGGAATGATCAGTCAATGTGGAGTTCTATTTATTTTATTATTTTGTGAGACATAAGCAAACCGTTGGGCTCCATGCTTGTCGATTGGATTAAGTCTGAGATGTATTGTGATCTGGTCTGTATATAGATCTCGATGAATAAAAGTCGCCGTATTGTTTCATAACATATCAGCAATGTATTTTGTTGAGCTCAAGGGGAAAACTCATTTCAGGTTATTCGAGTGACTAGACATGGATTCGAATATCAGTGAACGCCCGAATGAGTTCTTTCGGCTATGTTATTTTCACTTGTTTCAACTGAATCTTTGTCGACAAGAGGAAAACAAACAATTTTCGCTTTGTTCGACGATAAACGATCCGTTTACTTCACGCGAGAAGAGGATTTCATTTCGAAAATTCTTAGATATACTAATAAAATGTAGAGCTTTTGAGTCTCTACCAAGTTGAAACATGAATCACGCATTATAAAGCTCTAATAGCGTTTTTCTGCTTCGTTTTATGGGATTTGTATTCATTTTTCTAGAGAATCAAATGCTAAATGTGTTGAAAAAGGTTTCAGTTCAAATAAATGAAATTTAGACAAGATTGTAGCATCCTCATTCTTTTCGGTCTATCGATTAGAAAAAATATTTTTATACGGCTTGTGTCTCATTGTACATGCCACTCATAAGATCGCTATCGATTAAAAAAAGCTTATACAATTAGAATATTCTCTATGAGTACTGAACTAGCCTAAACAACAATAGATACCAATGTGCCGTATGGCCATTTAACTTGTTGGCTATACACATGGATAAAAATTGACCATATATTATATCATTTCTTCTTACGGATACTGTTTTCTATCATTATTTTATCTTATAATCGATTCTTTAAAAAAATCGATTCGCACTTTGCACTGCATTTCGTATTCAGGTGAAACTCGAATGATATCTGGTGATGAATTGGATGAGGTTTTGCTCTTGTTATTACTTCATTTGCTGAATGTAAAGCAGTACTCTTGACATCAAGGATAGATTGAGTAAAAGTCCTTGAATTCTACTGCAATCAGTCAGGGAAAAACGGATTAACAAAAGTGGACAGCGACACTATATATTAAAAGAGATGAATTTTTTCTGCTTGCATCCACTATGCCACTAGAGGACCAAAAGCTGCGAGCAGCAGTATCGTTTTCAACCGACGTATTCATCGGGTTCTAGAAAATTTTGTTTTAATCTGCCTTAATTGTAATCCCGATGAATTAAGTGATGATTTCAAAACCGCAATACAATATCCATAGATGTTGAACAGTGTATTAATTACCTGAGTGACATTCACATGAAAAACTATTCATAATTGTATGGGGCTCATTGGGACGAAACTTAATATCGGATATCGAGAAGCTTGAACGCGAGTATGTTCGGCTGCAACTGATGGATGTTGATATTATACTCAAAAGGAGTTTATTTATTAGACATTTATATCAAGATAGAAATGATTTAGACATGATGCAAGTCTACTCCATGATACATGTGCAGTCTTATTTTTAATTGCGCCGTTATACTCATAAGCATTTGGAGTATGACTACTACGATAACTTTAATAGCCACAGCTACTGATTGATAACATACGCCGAGTTCTATTGTAAAACAAATTTCAAAACGAAAAACGATTTGAAATTTATTGTACGATATGAAATTCTTAGTTTATAGTAACTTTTTACATTAGAAAAATACGAAGAAAAAAGGAAGTTGTTGTTTTTCAATTTACTTAGTGTTTTTTTTTATCAAGCTTACATTAATATTATCTGACTATTTACTTCGACATTTTGTTTCATGTAAGTCTATCAATATTATATTGTAATATTCATGTAGAATAATGAGTTCCTATAAAATGTAAAGTGACTATTTGTAAGAAATTCAGTAAGTTTCACACAGAATGAGAAGAAAACAGAATCTACACACTTTCTTTTTAGTGTGAGTCATTAAAATTCCCACATCCATTCGATTCCAATGACAACATGATCATTTTTCTTCCTTCTTAAATTTATTATTTTGTTTTTGTCAGAAAGAAAAACGCTTTAAAAGCATCAGTTGGTTAATTTAAAATCACTTTTTACCAGCATAACGACTTATTCGTTTATTGTCAGAAAACAATGTGATGGCCCGCAAAGGGGAGGATTTAATTCACCGCAGAGAACAAATAGGAGCAGGTGGCTTCGGTACTGTTTTCATAGGTAAATATCGTGAACATCAAGAAGTAGCCATTAAAGATATCAAAGGCGAACTATCACGTGAAGCATTCGCTGAAGCAAGTTTACTGAAAAAACTCACACACCCGAATATCATTCGATATATTGATATTGTTCAAGCATCAAAACAGACTTCTATCATCATGGAATTCATTGATGGCGGTTCTTTGCATCAATACATTAAGAACACAACTCAATCGCTCACCTATTGGAAAATGACTCGACAGATTATGATTGGTGTTGCATATGGCATGGCTTATTTACATGATCAAAGTATTGTTCATGCCGACTTGAAGAGTCTCAATGTTTTATTACGACATGATTACACAGCAGTTATATGTGATTTTGGTCTTGCAAGAACAATTGCTGATTCAGCTGCAGTTACAGCCGAAACTGCTCGAGGTATGTCATTAATAGATTGGTAAACAGAACATTTTTTTTCCAAATATCGAACCATTCATGTCACAATAAAATTTTATTTCTTTTTTGTTTGTATAGGAACAGCAATGTGGTTTGCACCAGAACTTTGTCGTAATCGACCAGAAAAACGTTCGTTTCAATCTGACGTATGGGCATTTGGTTGTGTCTTACTAGAAGTCCTATCCAAGAAGCTTCCATGGGAAGATGATTATGATAATAATATGATGCTGCTAAATGCACTAAGCAAACCAGAAAATGCAGCAATTTTTGAAGATATTTGTCGTAAACAGAGAGCTCCAGAAAAACTACGTACAGTACTTTGCCGTTGCTGTTCTTGGCAAAAAAAAGATCGACCTGAATTTCATACTATAGTTCAGGATCTAACCACAATCACCGATGTAGACCTGTGCAATCTTAACCAAGAACAAGAAAAGTCACTACTATCAGAATCTCCTAGTGTAAGGCCCTTGACTAGTAATGGACGATCTAGCACAAAATCTTCATCATCTAAAGTTAATAATGAAAATTCTGAAGAAAATGTACATTCCATAGAGCAATCAAAAGTTGAAAAGCCTAGAGGACGATCCAAGAAGCCGCCAGTCATTCAAACAGATAACTCAGATCGCCTTAATACAGATACTGATACTATTATCCAAGGACAAACAATATCATTACGATCGAACTTAGCAAATGCAAGACCTACAACTGGACGTATGCCACATAAAACTAAACCTCCTATTTGGCTAACACCGCAGGGCACTAATGAGCCGACAGATGCACTAGCAGCTGCAATAGATGCACTCAAACTTAACAATCCAAAAAACAAAAAACCCACAACAGATAACTTGGCTAATAAAGCCAATGTTGGAGAACGAAATACGAAGTATGCTTTTGTGAATAATTGTCATCGTCTTCTTTATCAAGGAGAACGTGGCGCGTGGTATTATATAAATTCTATGGGTAACAAAGTATATGCGACAGACAACTAAATTCTAATATATTCAAAAGAATATTCGAACAAATACCATCGATGTGATTGTGCTTATTATTTAGATTACAAACTAAAAATTTCAAGACCAATATCTTCTCAGTTGTGAAAACATATATATATATAAATAGTTCTGTCTTTCTTTTGTATTAAACTGGTCTTTCTTCACCATGCTGTGTATTTCCACCAAAGGGCCTATCGTGTTTTCGGATACCTGTATTTAATTCCGATTCTAAAGTGCAAACAAATTATTTTATTTTCTGTGTTTCTCTCTGATTTGCGCTTACCATTGGTATCCGTAGGCAAAACATGAGTAGCATTGTCAGTAGGTGCTATAAATAATAGATTATAGAAAAAAAAACGAATGAACTCTTATATATAATCCGTACTAGCTAAGACAGGCACGATTTCTTGTGCTGGTTCCGATGATTCTTAATTTAAATAGAAAATAAAGAACCTTTTTAATTCAGAGAAAAAATAATCCATACCATTCATCGACGATGATCTACTTGTAAGTGCTGCTGGTGATATATGGGCTGTTGAATTACTTCGAATTTCATTGAGATTAGGATTTTCCGTAGACGGTGATGTTTTACCTAGAAAAGAATAATAGTTTTGCTCCAACAAAATCGCAATAAGAAGAAGTTTATACAAACCTTCTGCATTTTTTTCACTCGGTAAATTATCTCGATGTTCACGGTTAATTGCATGATTATATTCCATCATTTCTTCTAAACAAAAATAAATTTTCTGATAGAAGGGTTTTGGCAGTTCAAAAATGAATTTCTATGCAACTGATCAACTTCGAGTTTGCTATTCTCATACGCCTAATTACTTCTAACCATATGTACCTTGATCATCGTCGATGTCTGAATAGTCATTCTCTTCAGCTTCGTCTTTAAGAAACGAAATAGAATATCATCCTGTTATTTCAATTCTATTCTAGAGAAATTTACCTGCTGTTTCGCCGATTTCTTCTTCTCCAATGCTTTCTCTAATAACTGTCGTGTCATGCCATTCTAATAAATACGAAAATTTCAAATAATGAAAACATGTAAATTGATCTATCTACCAAGATTTATTGTGGAATCCATATTTTCGTCTTCAATGATATTATTTGGAAGTGTTGCATCTATATTCACAGCATTGTTTTCGTCGTAGATAATAATAGCTACACGATTATGATAGAATTTAGAATATAGTCTCAAGAAATTCGTTTACCTTCACGAAATGTATTAATACGAATAGGTAATTCCAATGAATGCGGTTGTGAATCTTGAATGCCATATCGTATATGATCGAACTCTACATTGAACATCATAAGACGAATAATAGATTTATTAAAGTTAAGATTTGTTTTGGACACATACGACACATGATTAGTGCGTGCAGAAGATTGACAAGAAGACCAATAAAAGCATCCGATGGATCTGTGGAGAAAACGAAAAACGATAAAGATCTTTTTAGTTCTAATTAGGTTTTTTTAATTTACGTGTAATACGATCATTGGATGGTGCATTACGCTGTGCTATGAATCCTTCTTAAATTAGAACATAAAAAATGACCGAACAATAATTTGAACTCTCACGAATAAGTGAATCCGAATGGACATCTGCCATACCCATATCTAATACATCGGATTCTGCCGATGAATCACGAGGATTTAATCGATTTAAAGCCACATCATCTATTATTTGGTCTAAATTTCAAACGAAAAAAATAATTGATTTCAAGTATCTAGCAAACGGTTCATACTTGTTATCGGATTGAGCTGATCAGGCCCTTCGTTAACAACCTCTTGCGAAGAATCTGTTGAAGTGAAAATTTTGTTTTTCCAAAAATATTCTATACAATTTATATGGAATATAATCACGTGTTTCTTGTTGTGGTGATGTTGAAATACCAACATTATTCGAATTATTGTTATTTTCTGTGTACAAAGAGGAAGAATATATTAGAAAATCGACGCATTCTCTTGAATTGTTGCATCCAATAAATAAATAATCGAAAATATTTCGAAGCCATGGTGAAGTCCCATATTTTATTATTTTTACGTGAAATACATTAAAACCTTAACCTCATCAAAGCATAAAATTGATTCTTTGTATACATCGGTGGTAACGAGAGCAAGATAAGGCATTACGTCAACTCATGAGTCAAGATGAATGGTATTTTTCTAACATTGATACTGTTCAAATGGAAAGAAAAGAGTTCTACACATAAGCAGAGTAAAGAATCATTTTCATGGTTTGATGATCTATTTTGATAGTAACAGCGGCACCATATGTGGGCCCATCGTTGGCAATATCTTTGCAAATTTTAGGGCACTCTATTTTTAGAATTTTTGTTTTGTCAAACAACTGAGGATAGTCGATGTTTGAATACGTATACAGTTTTTATCAACAAATGTAAACTTTGTTAAAAAGACTCATACAGACAATAAGTAAAAAAATATCTTACACTATTTGGAAACATAATGATTGTGATCATTATATCACGTCATTGCATGATGGAGGATTATGTTGGGAGCCATTTGATATTTTTCTTATACATTTCCCAATGCAACCTATATTGATTACATTTCAATTAACTCATAAAAAAAATGGTTCTGTTTATTTTCATTTCTGTTTATCTCAATTTTTTCAGCGGCATTCATTAATAGGTTTTTGCTTATTGCAAATGAAAAAGGCTTCAAGTCCTTCAATCATTTGAGAGGTCTTTGTGTGAGCCTCAGTTTGCCCGAGAAAAAACGTTTTGGTGCCGCCGAAATCCAATAGATTCATAGTATATATGAAGTTTCATGTAAAATAATATGTATAGCAAACGAAACATGATCATCATGGAATCAAAATAGTTTTCGATCATCTTACCTTGATAAAGATGATCGATATTATTATCATTATCTTCATTGATAGCAGAAGAATGAGTCGTGCTGCCGTTATTGAATATACACATGAATGATTGCTAGCAAATTAATTCACTAATATTCTTGTTGGTTTTTTAATGAAATAGTCAATATGAACCCTATATTAGGGTTTATGAGAAGCAAAATTAGAATTGTTATCTATAGAAAACAATACTTAGTTAGATATTTTTTAATTAGGTTTTTCTTTTTAATTTTATCTGGAAAATATACTTTCGTCAGATAGATTCGAACACTTCAAGAATTCTATTCCTGGTATTTTTGTTTTCGTTTTGAATTCTATTTTCAAAACAAAACTTCTTCCAACTTAGGCGGCGAAAAAAAGGTGAAGCATGCTGTAGATTTTATCAAAAAAAAGTCTGAGCAAAGAAAAAAACAAGTTGAAAGTTTTATGAGTAAAGGAAAGGGAAAAAACCAAAGCTACATGCGCCCCTCATGAATGTTAACAGTGGCGTATTGCGTGGGTTTTCGCAGACTATAAATTGTTGTTAACGGGACGTTTTTACTTGCATAGTTGTTTGCAACTTTACAGTTTTTATATTATATGGATGCCAAAGAAGGTATGATTAATAGCACTCAGGGATAGGGGTGGCCATTTATCTTTATTTTCTTTTATACTAAAGGATAAAGGTAAATGAATCCGCTATCTTTAGAAAATAAACGTAAATGATTGAAAAAACATCTTTAATTTAGTTTTATAAAGATAGATGAGTCATTTACATTTAGATGATAATAGAAAATGATTGAAACAAAATTTATCATTTATTTTCTAAAGATAAATGATTCATTTAACTTTAGAAAATAAAGGAAAACTAAAGGAATAAATGATTTTTATTTTCAAGTGATAATCGAGTCGAAAGTATTCTAGAATTGTGGAACTCGTGTTTTGGGAATATTCTTATCATTGGACCGATGCCTTTTGACTGAAAACAGGAACCTCCGAAGTGAAATCAACTGATACTGCTTTACTAGTATTTAGGGGATTTTAGTTAGAAAAATATAGATTAAATTAAAACTAATACCATATTCTGAATCAGCATTAAAAACGGAACAAATCTATGCGACTTTCGAATATATTTTGGATAGTTAGGTTTTTACAAAAAGTCACCCCTAGTCCCCCTCAGGTTTCCTCGACCAAAAATCATAACTATCTAGAATATATTCGAAAGTCACATCGGTTTGTTCAGTTTGTAATGCTGATTCAGAATATGGTATTAGTTTTAATTTAATGTATGTTTTTCTAACTAAAATCCCCAAAATACTATTAAGCAATATCAGTTGATTTCACTTCAGAGGTCCCTGTTTTCAATCAAAAGACATCGATTCAATGATAAGAATATTCCCAAAACACGAGTTCTACAATTCTAGAATATTTTCGACTTGATTATCGCTTGAAAATAAGAATCATTTATTCCTTTATTTTTGCTTTATTTTCTAAAGTTAAATGAATCATTTATCTTTAGAAAATAAATGATAAATTTTGTTTCAATCATTTTCTATTATCATCTAAACGTAAATGACCCATATATCTTTATAAAACTAAATTAAAGATGTTTTTTCAATCATTTACGTTTATTTTCTAAAGATAGCGGATCCATTTACNAAGTAACACTAAATGACCACCCCTACTCAGGGACGGCGCGAACGTGCGGGGAGGGGGGGGGTTCGGTTCCCCCCAACTTTGGATGCTTTTGTCTCAATTTTACTCCGATTTTTGAAAAAAAACCTCCCGTTTTCAAGTAACCCCCCTATACTTTTATTAGTTCTCGCCGTCCCTGAATAGCACTTTGTGCAATGAATAGCATGGTGTTCACAATGTGAGGAATGTAATTCAAAGGAAAAATTTCGTGCAGCTTCAATATATCAATAGCTACAAGTTACCGGTACAATGCCATCTGAGGATATCTATAGACTTGCTTCACTAACATTCATCAGTTGAAGGATCAGATTGGTCGAATCATCGAAAGTTACCTAGCGTCTGACGTGTAGGTTAAAAATATGATCACATCGCTACGTTAGTTAGATTAGTTACCTGTATAACACATAAAACTGAAATATGTTATTTACTTCAAGTAGTCCTGCCTGATACGTATAGATAGAAGAAAGAATATGGATCCATGCTTTCTTTAAAGTCCTAGGAACGTTTACTTCTAGCGTTAGAACGAGCAACTAAGGAGAATAAAACAAACCGTTTTTCTTCTATAGGAGGTCACTTACGTTTCACCTGAGAAAAAATTCGAGAAGAAATAAAAATATTTTTGTTTGCAGTAAAATACTTGAGATAAAGCAATTGTATACATTCATATTCCCCGAAAACAAAAATCTTTCTTAACCAAAACACGAAAGACATTACGTGTCTGCATATATCTCTATGGTAGCAGCAAGAATGATTCATTTTAAAAAAACTGAGATAAAATTTTACTCAATCGTCTTCGACATGTTCTTTTTATGATTCATATAACGAATTTGATGAAAACTATCATTTAAAACAAAACTCTACTTACATACAGTGCATGATACGATAACATTTCATCAATGTGTAATTTCTATTTATTAATGAGACTGAAAGGAAATCTAAACAGACCGAAAATTAGCAATCCCAGCAATGCTACTTGAATTAAGGATGCAAAATAAAATTATGTGACAGGATTTCTATTAGCATTCTTCTCACTATGAGAAAATTTTAAACGTCCTCATAAGTAGAATGGTGCGAGTAAACATCGATGTTCCATATCGTTAATGCACATCGATGAAGTGAGTCTGTTTTTTATGGTTTTTTTTGTTAAAGGGATTATTCTCATCAAACAAAAAAAAGGAAGTAGAAAAAGATGAGATCTGCAAGATTTTATTGTTTTTCGTTGCTATTTGTAAAGCAAATATATCTCTTGTTTGCTTTTAAAAATACTTACTTGTCCCCTCCCCCGTCTATTTGCTAATTCAACTATTTTTTTTATACAAAAATAAAACTCAACCATTAATAATGGTGTTTGGTTTCTATTTTCAATATGAAATATTGTATATTTCAATGACAACAGCAAACTTTTATGATACCTTGCATTGCACATGAATTTCGACAACAATCATTGACTACCTTTTAATCATACACAATAAAAGATAATGGATAATGTTTCCACGAAACGTATAATATTGTGCAAACCGTATGTTTACTTTCAATATTTTAAAAAACAACGGACTCTGATAAAAGACATTTTTTTCTATTTCCTAAACAACATTTATAAGTATTCGATACAATATTCAATATGCTATAAAACTAAATCAAAACTGAAAATATTCTATTTTGCCTTATTGAGGTTACTAATCAAAGTTCCTCATTATTTGAATTCATGCGAATGAAAGAAAATCAATTAAAAACAATAGCTGTAATGAAAGATCGTACGAAACAACACAGTATCTTACATGATACATAGATAACTACAAGAAAAGTATAGTACATATTGATGTTGAAATTTGAATACAAGAATGAATAATACAATATCAAATTGGATGTTAACTGATAAATTAAAATAGAAATCAAATAGGATTTTCGAATTTAAGTACTATTGATGTTTTCTTTATGTTTGCATGCAGTTTGGATATTTTAGATTTTTTTGTACAACTATTTCATAATATATCTATTTTGAATTTAACTCGCTGTGGTCTATCAAAGCTACAGAAATTTTTAAATGTATTCAAACGGCATATAGTACAAATGATTTAAAATACCACCTTTTTTTTATGTATATAATCGTTGTGGACAGCTCATCTTTTCTGATATTTGTTTTCATAAGGAGATCGTTCAATGATGGCCCATCTAATTGAGTTACAATGCAAAACGTTTTCAGTATCCACGCCTGTGACATGCAATTGAGAACATAATTGAATACATCTTATGTAATTACTTATTTCGAAGAGAATTTAGGCTATGTCAACAGAAAAAAGATTACTCATCGACAGAACTTAGTAGTAAGTAATGTGACTCAAATAGTAAACGGATTTATGTTGACAAAGATTATTCATGAAGAATACATTCATAGGAATGTACTTTTGTGACAACGATATGTGATAAGACATTTTTTTTCTTTATTTCATCAGGCTGCTTAAATACTTGTTGAAAGGTTGATGGCGAACTATACAATTAGCAATAAGAACATCTCATAACATACTATAGTATCATAATTGTGATTCATATGTGCAAGAAGATAATTTTCATTATTGATTTCTGCCAATTGACCCGTATACTTCTTGTATGGAAATGTTCATTTCTCTCTTGAATGATACTGGCGAATAAAATTACATCCTAGAAGAAAAAACTAACGACATACTCAGTCACTCAGTCAATCCAGCGAATGGTTGTTATTACTCGGTGGACAAAGGATAAAATACTAGCAAGGAAAAGATTGCAGTCGTCTGTTTCAATTCTTGTTGGTGGGAAAAAATTTGCCGATGATAGAGCAACTTTTTTCTGGCATGAATTGTTGTTGATTGTTTTTTTTTCACGAGAACATCTTGAGAGTATCTATTCAAATAAATATATTCAAAAGTCAATTGTATTATAGCCTATGTGAGAATAATACAGGATTTTAAGCAGATTTCTTGCAATATGCGATGTAATCTTTGATCTGGCTGAAAGAATAAAAACTTGAATAGATATCTTTCAGAATTTCATCAGTTTCAACTACACACATCAATTATTGGGGGTGTATATGTGTTTTGTTTAGTAAATATGTTCATACGAAAACAAACTGAACCGTATACCCACCACCACAGTCTAAGCCTCCATCTCTTATTCTATATTTGTTGAAGTTTCGCATCGTTTCTTACATTATTTACAAATTATGTCCTGTCCATTCTTTCATTTATTCATACGCTTGCGTGAAAAATAAAAAAAACACGATCTGGTGAGATAATTTATGAGTCCCTCTTAAACCTCCTGTCCGTAGACATACGTGCAAGGGCAAAAAGGCGGATTCCGGATTCCCAGGATTCCCAGATTTCCATGGGATTCTCGGAATTTTTATAATAACAAATGACATTTCAGAAATTCATATTTAGCCTCTACGATCCTCAATCTAGTCCTGAAAATCTGATAGAACTCAGTGTCAAGGCTTCATTGCTTTATCAAATGACTTGAAAGGCTGCACACAACCATTGAGGAAAATCATTTCCTAGGCGAACTTTTTTTTTCATATGCTTGACCTGTTCAGATATCATGATTTGTTCAGCGCACATGACACTCTTGCTCCGAATACTCATGTATTTCATGTGCATACGTCAAGATAGTTCACTAGGGTTATCTATTTTAAAATTCTAGGCACTTAACCTAATTAGATGGGTATCAGATTCATTTTGACAACACGACAGTTTACTTTCTTATTTTTAAGAGAAAATGTTCGAGGTAGAATAACAAACAGCAGCAAGCAGTAAGATAAATCAATGAGATACAAGAACTATGTTGAATCAAATGAATCTATGGCATATTATATGTAACTTTTTTAGTCATTCCGTAATCTGACAGTTGAACATGCTTAAAGCAATCAGGTAGCAGCACAGCCTTTCTGTCGACTAAAAGATAAGAGACTCTATCGACGACTGTATTGTTTTTGGCATTAATTTTGACGCAAAAAAGATAGTTTGAAAGTGAAGAAGAAACTGGTTCGGAGGCTCTTATTGCATGAAATTGAGATTTATCACAAGTTGACAAAGAGGATAAATTATAAATTTTGTCTTAGGATCAGCTATATTTCTCTGATTTGGATATAAAAAAGCAACATTATATTTTAAATACTAGTTTGACTCTCGATCTAATGACTTGTAATGATTTTCGTCAGATTAGACAATACAGTTTTTTCTACACTAGATTCGTATAACTGATCCACTTTGCTTTATCACAAATTCTCTTGTTTTGTTCTAAACAAAATTAAAATCAAGCCCGAAAAGAGCATTATAGGTTAGATTATAAACTTGACAAATAGTCTCTTCAAAATTATCACAAAGGAGAAAATGATGAGATCTTTTTGAAGCTGGTTGTTTCGAAACCATCTTTTTCCTATCTTGTGTGACATTTTTGAAAACTTTAATGAAAAGTTCAACGCACTGCTTTTGGATAGGAACAAAACAGATTCTACATCCACTTCAATGTCTGAACTTCGCCCGAATATTCAAGATCTTCATCGAGTTCCGCTTCTCTATCCTTTTTGTTGTCTAGCTGCTTGCCTTTTTCTCGAAGATTCAATTATTGACTCTAAGCTTGCTTTGAATTGTGAAAGTCGATGGATATTTATTGTTTCACAGAAGAAAAATTATCCATTAATCACTAAGTTCAGACAAATTTTTTCATAAGATATGCACCAATACTAGAGACCAAAAAGCTCTTGTTTAATTTTCCTTTGTCCGTGAAAGGGCAGTAAAAATCAAAGTAATATCGATCACAATTAACCCGTTACATTTTATCATTAATCACGTCTATTTTATTGAACGAGCCGGATAATGAACTCACATAAGCTCATCAGTTAGTATATTGTTCTAATCATTTGGTAAAAAGTCAATAGATTATTTTCCCGTTTTTTTTTTGTATTAATATTCACGGATAAGTCATTATTGATCAGTCTAGGAAGAATAGTGCTGATTGCAGACTTACGACTTACTAAGTATTGAATAAAATGAAAAGGCCCGCAAGTTAGTCTTCGGAGCTAGTCCCTTAGTTCAATTGCAACTATATATGTTATGTCGAATTTAAAGTTGTAGTTCGATTCATCCTTCTATGAATCAATATGAGCGTTATTGTACAAAGTGTTTGAGATCTCTCACCTGATTGAACTGTATAAATGATCATACTAGATGTCACGATTAAGATCACGTTCTTTCGTTAGAAATCAGTAGCTTCCATACTCCAGAACGTTCAGTTTACGATATCGACGAGGGTGATGGTCTACATCATTTTTTTCCATCCCCACGAAATATTCACATCCACACCCTTATTTTCCATACCACTACGTGGTTCTCTTAGAGGAACGAGTTTCAAAATATTAAATGAACGAAGTGATATTTTTTATGCATGAGCATGAGTTATGATTTCAGTGTTGTTCAGACATCTAATTTAAGTATTTCTTGGATATTCATTGCATTCCCTGGATTTCTATTTGGTTCCAGGATTCCCATAGGATTCGAAATCGCGAGAACACGCCAATTCCCCCTTGAGTTGCATCATAATTGAAAGACTTCGACTTTTTTCTTAGATTGCACTCTATATACCAATTGCTTTGTTTTATTTATATGTATTAACTAGAATAGTTCAATAATATGCTGCGAAGACAACTTTTTCAGAACTTTTGCGCATAGGGTTGCATTATAATTTGTCTCGACTGAAGACACCCATGTCACCAAAATCACGACGATTTTTGCGATATGCGCAGGCATCTTACTAAATTTTCTAAGCATGATAATTATATACATCATTTTGTTTCATTTATGCAACGTGGATATACATGCAATTTACAATATCAAGAGCATAAACCAGATTCGTGTCATAAATCAACATGTTACAATTTGCTCTCTTCGGCGATGAGAATTACGAATTTCACAAGAATTTGTATTATACTTTTTATGGCAGCAAGTCCTTGTTTCACAGCAACTAGCTTATCTGTATAGTTTGTTTCATAAATTGCTTCGATTGATACTTTGATTAATCCAGAATATAAATTATATTTTCTGGATTTCTGGGATTTCTCATGGGATTCTTGGAATTCGGAGTCCTGAGAATCCGCCTTTTCCCCTAGGAGAAGTTACTATATCACACATAGCAACGCTTCGTTTATTTGATTGAGTTAAGAGTAGCAAAAAAAATCGCGAATCAATGATAGACCGTGTTTATTGATTGTCATACACGACTGTTAGTCGTAGTGTGTTAAGTTTTTGTTATATTATGCACCTATTTTTTTGTTCTTTCTTCTTCTTGTATGTGAATATAATTGCAGCTGTGTATTTCAAATAATAAATACCGATACTATACACATTTTCACATATGCACCTACGTCGAACACCCACAGTCGTAAGCAATTGCTTACAAAAGTTCTGCATATGGGAACCATAATAAAATACGCAGCATATATATATATGTAAGCCTCGATCTAAGCAACGCTTCACTCATGTCTTAGTGTTTACTTATGATTACATTGATAAATCCTATAGGAGTCTTTCATTCCATAGAATGAATTCTACTGGTTTAAGAATGATTCAGAATGCTTTCTCTTCAAATAGGGAACGATTTTTCAGTATAGAAGAAAGTATTCCATACTAGTGTGGAACGGTAAAGAACGAGTTCCTTCAGATCGAGAATATTTCTTTCTGACTCTGAACGCATTCTCTACGTAGAAGATAGGTTTCCATATCCGCATGAAACCATTCTATTCCGTTTTTTTTCGAAATATTTTTCACCGGGTAACCATGCTATTACTATCTTTTTCACGGTGAATTATTATTACTATTTTTATGTAAAGTGTGATCTATCAATTACTCATTCATATCTATCTCTATCTAATTATACTATGTTCAATCAACCGTCCTCTCTTTAACACTCCAAAAGTAATCGTGTCGAAAAATTGCAGTATACTAAATCTCTTGTCTGTCACTTCTTTATTCTTCGTGCTTTTTATCATATTCTCATGTGGACCAACAACAGCACGATAAACTGAATGAAAAAGAAACGCTCCTTATTCGTGTAATCAATGACAACGCTTGAGATAATGACGGACTGTTCATTTAGTTGATTTTTATATGGCTGATTGAACTCCGCTGTTGTTAATTTGACAATGTACAAACACAACGCCGACGAAATGAGAAAATTAAAGCAAATAAAATGTGAGAGAATTGAGTAACGATAGAACAGAACAACATTTTTCGTTCAACTGAAAGTTGAAGGAACAGACTAGGGTGTGGGTCTTGATTTTTATCTCATCTTGAACTAAACTAAACCCACATCCACTCTCTAAGAATGTGTTCTCAATGTTAACTTTACTAAAATTCAATCGACCATTATTGTACTTCACTAGTCTATTTATCATCAGAAATAATTTTCATGTTGTAATAAAGCTAACTTAAAAGCATTGACGATTCAGTTTTTGTTAAATGCATTGATAATTAGTTTTTTGTTAATTATATTATTAATGATTGTTTTCCTATATTCTCTATTTATATATATATGTATGCTGAAGTGAAAAATGAAATTCATTGAATATTATCTAACTTTAAGAAAAATAGGAAAAAAGGGTTTTCGTTAAAGTGGAGCTGGAGCTGGAGCTGGAGCGAAGCTGGAGCGAAGTCAGAATGGAGCTGGAGCGGATTCAGAATGGAGCTGGAGCGGATTCGGAGCGGTTATTTTTGATTCGGACCGGAGCTGGAGCGAGAAATGGTCGGAGCTGCCCATCTCTGCTCTGGATATGTGGATAAGCGAATACACATTATTGCTGGGAGTGGCGATAAACTACTCTACCTCTATCCAGTTTGTCATCATTTATAGACTCTAGCAGGATCCTATTATTCGTTACAATCACTGTGACAGAAGAGTTGGAAAAAATGCAAGTTTCATGCCTCATTTTTGTCACATCAACAGTATAATGACGAGGTGAATCCCAAATATTTTTATTAGGTTATAGGAAAAACTTCTATGTTATACAGTCGACTGATAGTGAAGAAGCCTCGACATATCGTAGACTTCACAACATGAATAGACTTTTCAAAGAAGCTCTTCACCTTCCTAGATCTTCGTTTTAATAGCTGAATTATACTAACTTTCGATTTTAAGGACAAGACACGTGAGTTGTTCCAGCTCCAAAAGCGAACCATTTATGATGCTTGTGTTATCACAATGAATATTGAGTAATTGAAGCTGCGGTGTATTTTCACAAATACGTACGAAGGCACGCAGGTCAGGCTGAAAGTTAAGACTGAATCTACTACGATAATACATGGCTAGTTGTGGATCGCTCTTATTAATTTTTAAATATCTTAATTGAGATGGTACTTTAATAGAAAGTAGAACTTGGATATCACAATTGTCCAATGAAAGTTGAAAATTTTGATTGAATCTATTTATTTGTTCAAGAATGTTCATCAGCGATCTTCTTTCAATTTCATGTAATGTCAACGATTGTAGTCGAGTGAGTGATCCGATTTGAAAATGAGATAAGAAAAGTTCTGCTTGACATGGCGTATCATCAGAATCGGACAGTATCAGTAAAACGATTTGATCTGGCCGCAGAATACGACAGATAAGGTCAAAATGAGGCCTCAGAATTGATTTGAAATTAACTTGATAACTTGAATATGAAACTAGAATGGAATCGAGATAGGGGCTGACATTAGAAAATGTCGTGAGAATTTCATGTGCCCAAAAGTAATTGAAAATAATATAGAATAACTCAGCTGGTAGGACATCAAGCAGGCAGTGAGGCATTATAGTTGGTTTGAAAATGGAAGTTTCTTCCTTGTATAAAAATTTTCTCATGAATCGCTTTTTTATTTCTGGTTGTCAAGAGACGGACGCACATGTGAAAAGTATAGAAATGAAGGATTATTTTTAACGGAATTAACAGAGAGTGGGGTCGCTTTTTCTTTCGGTGTGGGATGAGGTTGGGTGGAGAAAACTATATGAAGCGTTTCCACCTTTGTCAAAGATTTTATCAACTAGTTTTGAATTTGTGGGTGTGGGTGTGGGTGTGGGTGTGGGTGTGAACAGCTACCATAATCTAGATTTCATCCTGGCAAAACGAATCATCAGATGGCAAATAATCTAAATGATTTTCAAGAGAAAAAATCACAAGAATAATTTTTAACTGATATAAATATTTTCTTAATCGAAGAATACTTATATTGAAAAAATTCAAGACGCAGTTGTGTGAACAGCTACCATAGTCTAGATCATTCGATCATTTGTAAGATGTTGTGGTTTTCATCGATGAATCGTATTTTAGTTAGTTCAATTTAATGAATTTATTTTGATAGTGTTGTTCATATTCTTGTATTTTTATTTCAAAAATATTTAAGAAATAATTTAAACATAGACGTTTAGCTTCTTGTATAATTTTATAGCGTTTATTTTTTATTTCAATAACTTTTGCATTATTATCCAATGGTAAATAATTAATCGGTGAGATGAGTTTCTCCAAATCATCAAAATTTTGCGGTAAAAATTTACAATGAATTCGTGTTTCTAACATTAATTGTTCTTTCCAAATTTCTGCTTGTTTTTCACGTATTGTAATCAATCGATTAATATATTCGTTCTAAAAAAAAGACAATTATTTAATGAGAAAAGCAAAATAAATTCGACTAAAAATCAAATGGATTTACTTGTTGATTATTCATAAGAGTAGTAGTAGATATCGTTGGCAATAGTTTTTTTTCAGAAATATCATCTTTAAACTTGATCAATTTATCATTATTTCTTTTTGATAAATATTTTCGTTCACGATCGACTAATTCTTTAAGTCGAGATTCAATATATTCGAATGATAATCCCTGAATTAGACATGTTTGATATTGTTGTTCTTGTTTTGCTAATTCAAATTGACAATGATTCAATTGTTTCTTATTATTTTCTATATAATTCATCGCATATTGTTTACATAAATCGAAATCATTTGTCTTTAGCATCGTATAAAATTGATCCTTAATATTAATGACAAAGAAAACGTAAAGAATGATTTGAAGATAAAATAAAATAAACTTACTGGCCATAAATGTTGTTGTAAACCAATATCTAAATAAGATTGCCATAATTGTTGATCTATTTCTAAACAATATTGTTGATCTAATAGTTGAAGTCGTACATGAATAAATTGTTTTTCATCGGTTTTCTTTAATGAATAATTTAAAGTTTTATTTAATATTTCACAGAGTTCAAATGATGATCGTGTTAAATACATTGGTTGTCTAAATATAAACAATAGATAAATACGACAAATAATTATAATTAAAGAAAAAAATTTACTCTTACCGATACTTTATGTGTTCATTTATATCATTATTATTTCTATTGATTATTGGATCAATATCCATTGTTTCTGAAATATTTTTGATTTTTTTTGTTGATGGTTGTAAAATAGATATTGAGCTTGTTGTTTTTGGTATTTTTTGATTTATAATTGTTGATGACAGTTGTTGTGATGATATATCGCGTTTACGTTTATTAAGACATGCTGCTGTTTTAAGTACTGGTTGTGATTGATAATTTTGTCCTGATGATATTAAATCACTTTTTAATTTTGTTGATTCTTTATTATATTTTGTCTTTTTATTTTTCTCATAAATACGATTTCTTTTTTTGATTAATTTTTCTATTTCAGCCGGTTTCATTTTTTCAGTACGACATTTTCTTCGAAAACGTTGATTTCTTCGATTACCATGACACTTTTTCCGTTTTGATGGTTCTTGATTTGAAATTACAATATTATCTTGTCCATCCATATTGTTAATATTGACTATTGACAGATTAATCTGTACGTCGAATAGAAATTATTTAAATTATCTGAAAAGAAAAACAATACCAAGAATTGAAAATTACAACAGGGTCATTCCACCAGAAATCACCGGGTCATTCCGGCGACCACGCTCAAATCCTTTGAAACGTTCAGGGTTTCTAGAGAATTTTGCGCTGATCATTTTGGTAATAAATTTTTTAGGAATAAATTGTATTTTCGCGAAGATAGAGGTCAAATACAAAAAGTTCACTTTTCCACTTGGATTTCAAAACC